GTTCTGATTTTCTACGTATTCCGCTGCGTCTCCCAGCAGCCCAACCGTGGCCACCCCAAGTGGGACGAATGTTGGCACCCTCCAGCTGCTCTGTGTCCCCACCTGAGTCTGGCACAACAGAGCGGCCTCAAGGGCCAGGCCAGCAGGAAGTGACCCCAAAACCTGTTTCTATTCCCAGACCCCAATAACTACTACCACCGGCGGAACGAAATGACCACCACGGACGACCTGGATTTCAAGCACCACAGCTACAAGGAAATGCGCCAGGTGAGGCCCGACTCCGCCACCGAGCAATGTCTGGGGGCTCATGTGGCTCCTCTTATTTCCCGGAAGTTAGGGTGGTATGTTGGGGTACAGAGCTAAGTGAGCCCCATGGTTTGCAGCCCCATGGCTTGCTTGTGGTTTCAAGGTGGAGAATATCTCCTGGGGAGCCGGGATGCCAGAGCGCGGCTCCCTCCCAGAAGGCGGCCAAGCAGAATTTGAACCCAGGCTCCTCTGAGTCCTGGTTCTGGCTCTCAGGGATCGCCGTGGGCTTGAGGGAAGTAGGTGTGCACAGCGTCTGGGAAAACAATCAAGCGACAAGAGCGGAGAGCAACCTGCACCTTCAACTCACCTGGCCCATGCTCCAGGGGCAGGGTCTGCTTCAGCCTTGTGCGACTGATGGGGAAACTGAGTCACCGAGACTAACACTACCTCTGTTCCCGCTCTCTGACTCTTGATCTTAGTTGCCTGTTAGCGTCACTGCGGGAAATCTGGAAGAATATCTGTATTCGAGCTCCTCCACAGGCCAGTCGAAGAAGAATCTAGAGGAGAAGGGCCTGGGGTCTAATTTGTCAAAGCTCTCCTGGAGATTCTAATGCGCAGCCGGGCTCAGAACACTGACTGAGCTCGGGGTGCTGAGCACTTCAGTGAGAAGCAGTGAGAGTCCCCAGACCAACACAGAAGCCAGGTGGCTCGGGGCCGCTGGCTGCGCACAGGCGCAGAGGGACAGGACGGGCTGCTCCGGACAAGCCGAAGGTCAGCCCTGTGCCGCGTGCTTGTCCAGCGTTCGCCCCCCACCCCGATGGAGACTTTCTGCAAGTGAGCAGCCTTCACTCTTGAAGACTTGGTTTGAAGAGGCAAAGCAGAGAGCTGAACTCACACAGCAAGGCTTCACGTGAACTGGCCCAGGGTCAGGGCTGCTGGTGCTGGGGGCGAACCTGTGAACTGGCCCAGGGTCAGGGCCCCTGGGTCCGCCACCCAGCGCCAGGGTGGAGACTTCTGAAGCCCCAGCGGCAAGGCCGAGCAGAGAGCCCATCGCAGGAGTCAGGTCCCTGGCTTGTCTCCCCGCCATGGAGCCTGAGAGCTGCACACGCGGCTTCCAGACCCCTGTGAGCACAGACTTGGAGGTGGGATGTGCTAAAGAGAGCATCTTGCTGTCTTGCTCTCAGAAACCGGGATAATGTGTTTGGACGCGAGCAGCGTGACTCATCCCGCTGCTCCACATTTCGGGGTATTTATACGCCTGCCCTCTGCTCCGCCTCATGGAACACTTGCGAGTCAGCCCAGCTCTGCTCCCTGGACACCTCAGGACATCTCTCTGGGTTCAGACACTACACCAGGATCAACTCTGTGCCTCCAGGCTGCGGGGCTGGGGCAATTGATGTCAAAAGCAATATATCTGGGTGCGTTTGAAGTGAGCAGTGGCACAGGCAGTCCAGAGCTCTTTAAGTATCTCAACTTCGGGGGGTCCCTCCCCAGGCAGGGAAAAGTGCTGTAGCACTCTCTGGCTGCAGAACTCAGGGCCCCTGCGGGTGACAGCTGGCGACCCTCCCTCCCGCCAGAGCTGTGGGATCCAGGGGGAGGTGGGGCTCTGGATCTCCAGAACCAGTCTTGGACCTCTGGGGGTTGAGCTGATGACCATAGTCCAGGGAGGGGGGCGCGACCATTGTCCAGGGAGGGGGTGCCCTCAGAGGGTACTGGGAGAACAGGCAGAGGGCTCAGGGGAACTCTCCAGGCAGAAGGGAGACCCAGTGTCTGGGTGGGGCTGGGCGCCTGGGCCTGTGGGGGGGTGGGGGGGGGCTGGG